CCGGCCTCACCCGCAGGCTCCCTCCACCTTCCGGGCCTGCTCGTCTGGCTGGCTTATCGCATGGCGAACAGCTGGCCGGCCTGGAGGCTGACCTACCTAAGGAGGGAGCCACCAGCTCACCCTCCATGGGCACTTCTCACCAACCTCAGGGATGGCTTTTTCCACTCTCTTGCCAACTGCTTTCCTAACCAACTCGGGCTGGCGACCACAGCCTCTGCCCCCACCCAGCCCCCACCCCCCCAGGGCTGACGGGGGTTGGGCTCTGAAGGTTTTTTTTTTTCTTCTGTATTTAGGGAAAGCTTCTCCAGGATCTATAAAGTGGCTTCCACCAGGAATAGCCCGGGGGGCTGTTTGGCTGGGAGTGGGAGCCAGACGCTAATGGGCTCGTTAACTAATGGGCAACCAGAACTTGACTTCGCCTGTTGGGGGAAGCCATTGGGACCCTTGGCGACGAGTGTGTTTTTCTGGCCACAACTTAAATAAAGGGTCCCCTCTCTCTCTCCCTCCCTGTCGCTCTCCCCCTCCTCCCTCTCCTTCTCCATCCCCATCACCCCTCTCCCTCATCCTCCTTCCATCCCAGGGACAGGGATGAGCTGGGAGAGGGGCTTCTGGGAACCAGATCCAGGAAGGGCAGGAGCCCTGTGGGGTCTAGGGATGGAGGGCGGCGGAGGGCACCCACCTGAGCTGTAATTGACGATGTCCACTCCCAGGGCCGGGCTCTTCCGCTTGCGGGGCCGTCCCTTCTGCACGGTGCCCGTGCCATTGAAGTAAGGCAGCGCCAGGCCGCCGCCCTTGGCCGCCAGCTCGGTGTAGCTCAGCGGCGCCGGGAACTCCCCGTGCAGGAGGCTCTCGAAGTGCGCGCGGCAGTAGACCAGGCCGTCCTTCATGCCGAAGTGGTCGCCCGTGGCCAGCGTCTTGCCGCAGGTGGAGCAGGTGAAGCAGCTCAGGTGGTAGACGGCGTCGCGCGCGCGCATGACCATCTCGGAGGCGGAGATGCCCAGGTGGCAGCGGGCACATCTCTGCACGGAGAACCTCCTGGAAGGAGAGCAGTGGCGCGCACGTCAGG